TGAATAGTCCCTCATTTATTACTGTCTTTCCTAAAATGTGACTCCCAGAGCTGCCCACAATACTCCAGACACTCCAGGGGAGAGGACAGTGGGACTAGGGCTCTTCATTTCTGGGAGCTCTGCACACTCTTCATGCAACCTAAGGACACCTTAGCTTTTTTTGGGGGGGGGCTGCTATGTCATACTGTTCACCCACACTGAGCCTGCAGTCCACTAAGACCCTCAGATCATTTTCAGACAAACTACCTCAACACGCACTCTACACTCCTACTACACTGGTCTACCTTTGGTCCTTCCACTGCCCCCAAATGCCCTTAGAACACTTTTCTTGGTCTTTTTGCTCCCCATACCTGGAATCCTTTCTCTTCCCCTCTTTATCTACTCATCCTTTAACACCCAGCTCAAATCTGACCTCTTCTATAACAAGCCTTCGCTGATTACCTTGGTTAGTTAGTTATCTGGAGCACTATGGAGCCTTGGGGGTCCAAATCCAGTGTTGCTGCAAAGGCCCCTGAGAAGCATGAAAGTTTGGCACACCATGGATGCCTCTGTTTCTCCCAAGGCATTCCACCCAGCCTCCAGGATTGCCAGGCACGGAATAGGTGCTGGTCATTATCACACTGTCTCCAAAACTTTAACAATATTCTCAAATGTGTGACCTTGGACAAATCACTCCCACCCTTCTAAGTATCAGTTTCCTCTCCAGTAAAATGAGAGGATTGGATGAAATGATCTCCAAAGTTCCTTCCAGCCCAAGCTCCAATATTCTGTGATATTAACACTGTCTTCCTGAGTGCAATTCATGAAGAATAATTCTAGTTTGGAATATTTTAAATTGCCTTTCCAGAGGGAAGATTTTCTGCCTTGACCTTCTCAAGAGATCACTGATATTTTCAGCAAAAACAGTCACTGACTAACATTTATAATAGCCCTTTCATGACATTTGATTACTGACAAAACTCCTAATGCAGGTATTATCATCCAAAGTACTTTGAAGTTCAGAAGGGATGATATGATTAGTCCAAGACCACCCAGACCCAAAGAGACCAAGATGCCAGACCTGGAATGCTGTAGTCTCCAAAGCCAGTACTTTGCCCTGGTACATCTCCTACCTTCATACCTTTGCCCACACAGGCTTTCCCCCATGTCTTGAATTCTCTCCCTTCACATAACCACCTCTTGTAAATCTTTGTTCCCTTCCAAGGCCCAGCTCAAGTACCCTCCCTACAGCACCTTCCTTATTCCCCCCAACTGTTAGTGTTTCCTGCCCCCTAGTTCAGACAGAATCAGAGAATTTCAGAGGTCCTTAGCAGACACCTAGTCTAACTTTATACAAATTATATATATATATGTACACATATATGGATATATGTGTATGTACACATATATGGATATATATGTATGTATATATAAATGTACCCATGAGGGAAGTATAGACCTAGAATAATAAAATGACAAACTGAGACTAAGCCATTCGGTGCCTGAAACAGAATCTGAACCTAGGTCTTCCCGACTCCAAGTTTAGCACGCTATAGGATTGGGAAGTGGGGGTGGGTTGTGTGTTACATTTGTTTCACACCTAAGTGTATGCATTGGGATCCCTGGGTGGGAGGATGAGAGATAATTTTAAGAACTCCCTTCAACATTATCCAGACTCTGACCCGCCTTCTCTAATTCATTCCAAGATAACACTTCCAGGAAGGATTTGTGCAAAAGTTTTTAGTTTGTACACAAAAGATCATGGGAGTCCACAAGGTGTGGAAGGTATTTTCCTGAAATCACACAAAGAGTGTTCTCCAAATGAATGGTACCGGCTCCTACCATCCACCTCTGGTACCACTCGTGGTACCACCACCGCTACCATCCGCCCTCACCACAAAGTACAAGGCAGAGGAATTGGTGTGAAAGTTTCCCGGAGCCTTTAAAAGCATCAATGCTGCTGCCCCTCTTACCACCAGTCAGCGAGTCAAAGATCCCTGGAATTAAAGACAGACACACAACAGCAGCTCAATGGGGCCTTGAGACCGATAGATCCGAAGAGAAAACCGACAACAAACGTGGGTCATTTTCAACATCAAAGATAAGAAGAAAAAAAAAAGAAAGCACCTCCCCCACCGCACCTCTACTGCCATTCTTCCCTGAACTTGTACTTCCACAGGATACAAATGTAACACACTTCGGTTCTTACCACTCTCGCGGCGCCAGACAACGTAGGAGATCCAGAGCTCACGGTCAAGTTCGGCTTGTCCACTCTTTAGAGCCCCGCACTCAGCTCCCAGGGCTTTTATCCTTATCTGAGCCCATAAACTTCGGCAGGACCGAAGGTGCAGCTCTTTCTTCTATCTGATTTGAAAAGCCCCCTTTTAGTTGCGTCTCTCCTGACGCTCCAGAGGCCGCAGATGGCAGATGAGCAGGATTCCCAGCGTGTCCAAGTACCCCTCAACGAACCCCGCCCCCCCCAAGCCCCGAGTCTGTTTTCCTGGCAGCCCAGGGCGTCAGGCAGAATTTCTGTCTGCCTTCTCAGGGGCCCGGGCTGCAAACACCTGGTCCTAAGAAACCATATTCTCTCATCTCCCTGGAAGCTTCTGGACAAACATGAAAACACCACACACGCACAACAGCCCACATCTATCTATCACATCTCGCGGAGGGAGGGGGGAAGGGGGAGTCTCCTCGTTCTTATCCGACTCATCGCGGGGCCGTTCTTTCTAGCCCTGATGTTTCTTGGTCTGACTGGTTTGTCTGCGCCCCTGGCCCTGGCACAGGAAGGGGGTAAATAGATGAGCGATCCAGAGGCTTGGTTTCAACCTATTCCTCCCTTAAAGGTGAGATCGGAGATAATCTGAGGTGCTTTCTTGGGATCCCCCCCTCTCGTCTCCTTCGACATCCCTCCCAAACTGAGGAGTCTCAGACCCCCTGTTGGGGTGGGGGAGGGGTGGGTCAGCGTGGCACTTCTTCCTTGAGCACCCTTGAGAAGGGGAGGGGGGGACGCGTCTGAACTCCTATTACTCAGTGCCCCGGGGAACAAGCCCACCCCCCTCCCCCCCCCCGTCCTCCGGGAGTTCTCAGGGGGCTTGGAGATCAAAGACTCAAGGGACAGCTTGTAAGAGGGAGGAGTTAAAAATCTCCCTCGCTGCCCCCTCCATTCCCACGGCGATTCTGCTCCTACCTTGACCTCCGCGGGGTCCAGTTTGGAGCCCAGAAAAGAGAGAAGTGTCCTCGACCGCCCGCAGTCCCAGCACTCCCCCCCCAACCCCGCCCCACTCTAGGGGCCGCACGCAGGATGTACTTGGCCGACATAAACAGGATGTCAGACGGCGCGTTCGGATCTTGCTTAGGAAAACTTCGTATTTTCACTGAACGACCCAGAGCGGGGAGGGGGCGAGGGCGGTAAAGATAGAGCGCCCATCACTTTGGATCGGCCGCTACAAGCCGATCCCGGCTGGGGACCCCCGGGGCAGCGCTGGGCGCCCTCCGCCCCAAAGCTGGAAATCCCCGATCCCGCCAGCTGCTGTCCCCAGCCCTCGGGTGGCCCTGGGGAGAGCCCAGCCCCCCTCCTCGGGCCAGCTGTGGGAACTTTGCCCCCCCCCTCCGCCGCATCCTGCTGCCCCCCATTTCCTGCCCCATCTGGCAGACCCCGGCCGCCCCCTCCCCCGCCTTGGCACTCACCACTTCCGCGTGCTGCTCTGGGCTCGACTGGCAGGCAGACAGGCAGGCAGCGCCCGGGCCCCCGGGCCCCCGGGCCCAGTTCGGCTCGGCTCGGCTCGCTAGGCGGCCAGGCCCGCGCCGCCACCCCGCATGGAGCAGAGCGGGACAGGCCGAGGGCGCGGCGGGCTGGGCGCAGGGCGCGGGCAGGACTGGGGGCACGGAGACTGCGGGAGAGACACGCGTACGGCCGGCAGCTCGGCCGGCCAGCTCGCTCGCCTCTCCCTCGGCTCGGCTCGGCTCGGCTCGGCTCGGCTCGCCTCGACTTTGGGGCAGCGACCTGGGCCCTTCGGCACTCCAGCCCCGCCTCCCCTGCCCGCTCCGACTCCGCCTCTCCTTGTTCCTCCCCCGTCCGGGGAGGTGCGATTGCCGCCGCGGCCGCGGTCGCTCGACTCGGCCTTCAGTGCCTCTGGGCGGTCCAGGGCGGGCCGACAGCTAGTGTGACACCCCGCCCCCTCCTCACCTCCGGTCAGCTGGGGCTGGGCCCGGGCCTGAGGCTGTGGTTGTGGCAATCGCCCTGAGAAGGGCGTGGAAAGGCCGCCGGAGCCCGCCCGCCAGCCGGCTGACATCATCCGAGTGACAGCTGGAGCCGGGAAGGGAGATGAAGGTGGGGGAGGGGAGAGCGACGGATCAGGGCTTGGGCACCGCGGCCGTCTCCTCTCCCCTCCCCTGCCCTCCTCTGCCCTCCCCTGCCCTCCCCTGCCCTCCCCTGCCCTCCCCTGCCCTCCCCTGCCCTCCCCTGCCCTCCC